AATAAAAGATGTTTTTGATGTTGTACCAATGATTTTGATAATTACAAAGCATATTTGAATAACTAATTTGTTTATTTAAGTGTGTAGTTGAACTTCCAAAAGATTGCAAAATTATGTGAACTTGGATTGCACTGAAAATACCAAAAAAAAAAAAAAAGGCTATAAAATGTGTAGAGAGCCAGCTCTAAAAACTGCAGCCGACTCTACGAGAGAAAAATTTAAGTGCACAGTTTGGTGCGCCCGTAGAAAACGAATGGAAAGCCGGCTTTAACTTTGTAGTCGGTTATGATGGCACATTTAATGCATAACGGTCGAGTTATTTGAAAATTATTTAATTTTTTAAAAGTCAAAATCCCAAAACCAGCTTTATATTTTGTAGCCAGCTATGCAAGAAACCCGCAAAAGCCGATTGTAAAATTCTAAACCAATTGTACAAAGTCGGCTCTAGACTTTAAGCCAGTTGTACTGACAAATCTACAACTCAAAATTACATGACCTGTAGAGTATTTCATGACCCCCAATGGCTAGAAACAATTATTTTTGACCAAGGGGCTATAAATATAGTTGGTAGCAAATCTGGGATTAGTTTTTGAGCTTTGTATTGAATATCTCTACTTACCAACTTGTGCTTTAACTTGAGCTTTTGATCTTTGAGTGATCTTTACTTGTAATCCTCTTCACTTATAATCATCTTCTTGTTCTATTTGTGTGTTATCTTGGGGGTGTGAATATTCCTTCAAGAGTGATTTGTAGAAAGGATTCTTATGGTTTATCTTGTAAATGAGTGAGATTTGAGAGAAATACCCTTCTTCTTGTAAAAGGATTAAGTGGCTCCTTTAAGCCACCCTTGTTTTTCTTAGTGGAGAGTGTCGAGGAAATCCTTAGTGAGTGAAGTCAAGGTAGAGAATTAGGTTTCAAGTGATTGGACCGAACCTCTATAAAATCATTATGCAAGCTCTTTTTCCCTATTTTCTCTTTAATTTTTGTTTGGTGGTTGCAAAGAGATGAAAATTTTCCAACTCCAATTCACCCCCCTCTTGAAGTGCATTGAGCCAACAATCAATATCAAAGCAATGGCTCTAATTTGAAGGTTTAACCACCTAGGAATTGATCAGGAATGGCTCAATTTCAAGCTTCTCAACCACTTGAAGGTTTGTCCACCACTAAGCCTCCTTTCTGTTGACGACCACTTAAGATTTTTTTCAAAATAAATGAAAAATTAAGTGTGAAAATATAAAAAAAAAAAGAGTTGTCACTCGTCCAAATTATAAGGTGGAACAAGTCACCTAAAACGGATCTGGGTAGAGATCGGGGTTCAGGGGTTCGGTTAGGAATGAGGAAGGGCATATGCGCATCTCACAATCCTCCGTTTAAACATGGTTGCATACTTTAAAATTGGAGTTTTAATTCAACTTATTTATTATATTTTTGTTTGAGTCTTAAAAAGCAAACTTGAAAAGGAGATAAACCGAATCAAAACTTTTTTTTTTTTAATTTTTGGACTGAAATAGACAATCAAGAACATGCATGCACAATAAACACAAATAAAATTTAAATGGACTGATTTGATTAAAATAAAAAAATAGAGGACTGATTTGAAAAAGTTTAAAACTTTTGGACTAAAGTGCTTAAACATGAAAAGATTGTGCGAAATTGAAATAAAAGAGATAACTTATGATTTTTTTACTTTTTAACCTTTTTAGTTTTTTTTTATTGGATTGGGTCGGGTTGATCCATCCAAAAACACGAACCCACCAACCAAAGTGGGCAAAAACAGATTAAAAGCTAGAACAAAATGAAATCTGGACAGAAACAGAAAGGATCTGGATTTTCTGTTCGGCCATCCAACAGAACAGAACAAAGAAAGCAAGTAAACATCCATTCCAATTCGGATCCATGAAATTCAACAAACATGCTTGATTTCATTTGCAGTATCATCATCTAGTACAGTTTTAATAAAGCAAAACTCTATGAAAATCAGAATCAAACAAGGTGAAATTTCTGGAAAAAAGCAGATTGAGGTCCGAAGGGAGGGATCCCACCCACGGGATCAAGCTCCCTTCTTCTCCCTCACGGCTCTTCCCAAAAATTCCTCTGTTCAGAAATTACCTAAGGCAATGAAACCCAGAAAATGAAACCAGAAAATGAAGCTCCTCTGGAAGCTCGGTGATCCTTCCTCTCAACCACCGTTGTTGCCCCCTTTCTTCTCCAGTAAATCCCCTTCTATTGCTCTCAAAAACTCAGACGAAACTCCTCCACAAAGAGACCCAAAATCAACCCAAAACCAACCCCCCATTACTCTGCTTTTGCCCTATATATATACCCCAAAAAATAAAAATAAAATGCAACAAAAGACAAGGGCCTTGCTCTGTCAATCAATGATGCCAATTTGTCCGGTACTCCTTGTCTTTTCTGCATGTGAGGCAAGGATGGGGGCTGCAGTAAATCAGCGGTGCAGAGGCGCGGGATTGGGGTGAGGCGCGGTGTGCAGGGAGGCAGGGGCGTGGAGTGCTGATGATGGCTCGGGCGTGCAGGGGCATCATTGCCGGCAGTGGGGCGCA